GCAGCACTCAGGACAGCCCTGGGGGAGGGGCACGGTGCGGGGGAGGGGCAGGCCCTGCCCCAGAGGCTCCCAGCCCCTGGCCTCCCCGAACCCGCTTTGGGTTTTTACGGCAGCCTCACCGCGTAGGCCCCACCGGTCAGCTCACTGTCGCCGGCCACTGAGAGCAAGCCTGGCCGTTCTGTCCTGGAGATCTGGGGAGACGGGAAGTTGTGGCTCTGGTTGCAAGGTTGGTTCCCTGGGTGACCAGGTGCCAGTCTTTGGTGCCATCCCAAGGTCGCCTCATGCACATAACAAGAGACACCTCGGACTCGTGACCCTCGGACGCCCCAAGGCTGCTGGGGGCTGTGAGCCGGGGGCCGCGCGTGGAGACGGATGCTGGTGTCCCCCAACGCAGACCGGCGGCCCCCCTGGCTGTGCCCCCCACCAGGCTGTGCCCCCCCCGGGCTGGGCCCACAGCTGCGCCAGGCTCTCGAGGCGGGCAGGGCTTTCTGAGCGCCCGTGGGGGCGCCCTCCTCCCCGTGCCTGCGGTTGGGGCCTGCGTCCCCGCACCGGCCTTCTTCGGAGCAGTGTCCATGCATGTCCTTTGCCCACTCGAAAATGCCCTATGCGAGGTGGGCACAGCCCTGGCTGACCGTCTCAGCCACCGTAAGAGCAGAGTGGGGGCCTGTCCACCCGAGGCGGCTTCTGCATGCTGGACCCCGGCCCCCAGCCTCGGCAGCGAGGCCACGCACCTGCCCTGCGCCCCCTCCTGGAGGAAGGAGCCCAGGCGGGCAGGCGGGATGGCCGAGCCCTGGGTCCCGGGGTGCCGGGGCAGCGGCGCTGGGAACCTCACCTTCTCTCTCTGGAGGTCCGCGGGAAGCTCGAAGCCTTTTGCGGCGAGAAAGACCCAGCTGGACCTGAAGCGCATGTTCCTGATCTCCCGACTCCCCAGCGCCTCGATGGCCTTCTTGGCGCCCTCCGTCAGCCTGGCGGGGGAGGAGAGTGAGTGCCCAGGCCAGGGGGCCCGCGGTCCGTGCACAGTGCCGTGCTTGAGCCCTTGTGCCCCCATGAGGCCCTGAAACACTATCTGCAGACAGGCTCTGACTGCAGGAAGGGCGGGCGGCGCCGGCTGCGGCCCGCCTGGGCCACTCGGCGCGTCCTCCCACGGCCAGGTCCCGCTGGGGGCCACGCCGACGGGCCCCCCGGGAGGCGCAGGGCTCTGGCGTCTGCAGGAACGTGGTCTCGCCCGCCACGACTATCACACACAGAACTGTGTCGCCCGCAGACGTGAGCACAGGGCGGGCTGGAGCGCCCAGGGCGGGCGGACACGCGGCCAGCCGAGGAGAGCTGACGGCAGAGCTGATGACCTGTGAGGAACGGTGGGTGGAGGGCGGGTGGGGGACAGGCCGGCCGGCGGACGGG